ACACCCACCAGCACACAGACCCCAACCACTCCACCAACACCTATCACCACCACCACTACAGTGACCCCAACCCCAACACCCACCACCACCACCACCACCACCACAGAGACCCCAACCCCAACACCTACCAACACAGCGACACCAACCCCAACACCCACCAGCACCCAGACCCCAACTTCGACACCCATCACCACCACCAGCACGACAGCAACACCAACCCCAACACCCACCAGCACACAGACCCCAACCTCGACACCCATCACCACCACCACCACGACAGCGACACCAACCCCAACACCCACCAGCACACAGACCCCAACCCCGACACCCACCAGCACACAGACCCCAACCACTCCACCAACACCTATCACCACCACCACTACAGTGACCCCAACCCCAACACCCACCAGCACCACTACAGTGACACCAACCCCGACACCTACAACCACAGCGACCCCAACCCCAACACCTACCAACACAGCAACACCAACCCCAACACCCACCAGCACACAGACCCCAACCCCGACACCCATCACCACCACCACCCCGACAGTGACACCAACCCCAACACCCACCGGCACACAGACCCCAACCCCAACATCCATCACCACCACTACCACGGTGACCCCAACACCAACACCCACCGGCACACAGACCCCAACCCCGACACCCGTCACCACCACCACCACGACAGTGACTCCAACCACAACACCCACGAGCACACAGACCCCCACCCCGACACCCATCACCACTACCACTTCGGTGCCATCAACCCCAACACCCACTGGCACACAGACCCCAACCCCGTCACCCATCGCCACCACCACTACAGTGACCCCAACCCCAACATCTACCAGCACTCAGACCCCAACCCCAATACCCATCACCACCACCACAACAGTGACCCCAACCCCAACACCCACCAGCACACAGACCCCAACCCTGACACCCATCACCATCACCACTACGATGACGTCAACCCCAACACCTACGACTACAAGCACGGAGATCCCCAGCCCCACAAGCACAGCACCCATTTCTGAGTCAACCACATCCAAACCCCCACCTGAGTCCTCAACCCCTCAGATATCTCGGTCCACCTCTTCCCCTCCCACGGAGTCAACCACCCTTTTGAGTACTGCACCACCTACCATTGAGACGACCAGCACGGCCCTACCCTCCACACCCACGTCACCTACAGCCACCACGACGGGAGGCCACACGCCGTCTCCACCGCCCAGCACCACCTCGGCCCCTCCAGGTAAGCAGAGCCGCTCAGTTCCTCCAGCTGGGATGCTTCCTCCTCCCCTTCAGCCAGGCGGGACTGTCCCAGGAAGGCTCAAGGCAGGTTCTGGGCACCTCTCTGCCCACCAAGCATGGTTACTGTGTGGGCAGGAGCTGCTGACACTGTCCAGTGATGGGCAGTGAAGCCAAAGGCCACCCCGCTGCTTGCCCATATGACGGCCTTCTTAGGAGTCACTGACACCAGCCAGTGCTGGGCAGTGGAGTCAAAGGCCACCCCGCTCGCCCATAGGACAGTCTTCTTCAGGGACCCACTGCTGTGTGATGTGGTGCTGTGGGAGTCCACCAAGGCTGGGGGGCAGAGAGAGGCTGCCAGTGAGGTGCCTGCAGGTCCTCCTGCTTCTGGCTGTACCCCCTCCTCGGGGCCCCTTTCCGGCAGACGGTGTGCCACAGCCAGTGCCTTCTGGACAACTCTTGCTGGCAGTCAGCTTGGCCAGCAAGCTGTGTTGCTGCCGGAGCACCAGGTCATCTATGGGCTCTCGTGACACTCGGCTGTGGTGATGCTGGCCCTGTTGCTCCACCCTGCCTGGTGACTCAGAACCTGGGAGTTGGGCACGAGGCCCTGGTCCTCCAGTTCTGCGACCTGGTCGGCTGTCTGGCTCCCTTGCAGCTGGGGAGTGGCAGTTGGGACCCTGCAGTGTCTGAGATGCGCAATGTCTCAGCCCTCACTGGTGTCTCCTGCTCTCACAGGCACCCCCACTCACAGTACCATGACTGGGTCATCTGCACCCACCACCCCCAGCACTGTGCAGACGACCACCACCAGCGCCTGGACCCCCACGCCAACCCCAATCTCCACACTCAGCATCATCACGATCACAGTCTCGCCCATCATTAAATGCTGTGTCCTGAACGACACCTTCTACGCACCAGGTACTCAGGCTGTTCACATCCTGGGCTCGGGCGGCCGAGGCTGGTTTTGGCCCCGGCATGTACCAGTGCTCAGGCGCCAGGGCTGAGATCACTGTGGGAGAGTCTCAGGAGGCGGCAGCTGTCGAGGGTGGCTGTGTCCAGGGCATAGCTTCCCTCGGGTGGCCTCTGTGGAGACCTCTGTGCGGTCCAGCGGCTAGCCCTGCCTCTGGGCGGTGTGGTCATGGGTCTGTCTCCCTTCGCAGGTGAGGTGGTGTACAATGGCACACACGGAGACACCTGCTATTTCGTGAACTGCTCACTGAGCTGTACCTTGGAGTTCTATAACTGGTCCTGCCCATCCACGCCCTCCCCAACGCCCACGCCCTCCAAGTCGACGCCCACGTCTTCCAAGCCATCGCCCACGCCCTCCAAGCCAACGCCCAGCACCATCAAGCCCCCCGCGTGCCCAGACTTTGATCCTCCCAGACAGGTCAGTGGGCTGCAGGTGGCTTTGTCCCCACGGCACTGAGCGTGGCATGTCCGGGCACCCAAGGCCCCAGGCACCACTTCCTGCTGGTCGTCTGAGGGCCAAGGCCTCCTGTAGCCCCTTGGGTGCAGGGTCTGCCAAGCCCTCCACCTTTTCACCGTGCCCTGCCGTGCCCCGCCGTGTCTGGCAAGGTGGCTGGCTGCAATGAGGTCCTTGGAAGCCACCTCGGCCTCCAGCCTCCTGGCTCGGCACCCGCCCCTCCTGAGCGCAGACCACCCCGTCCTGTGCCGGTCTCACTGACCGCCCCTTGCCTCCTGTCCCCAGGAGAACGAGACTTGGTGGCTGTGCGACTGCTTCATGGCCACGTGCAAGTACAACAACACAGTGGAGATCATGAAGGTGGAGTGTGAGCCGCCGCCCATGCCCACCTGCTCCAACGGCCTCACCCCCGTGCGCGTCAGCGACCCTGACGGCTGCTGCTGGCATTGGGAGTGCGACTGTGAGTCCGGGGCCCCCAGGCCCTCCCCGCATCTCCTGCCCTCTCCGTGGGTGGGGGCTGCAGGGCCCATCTCCCAGGGGCAGAAGGGTTGAGGCTCCTTGGGCACAGACCTCACTGTGGTGTTCACTGAGGCTGGGTGACTTCTGAGGGTCTCCTCAGCCCTGCTTTTGCCTCATTGGCGGGGAGGGTCTGGGCAGGTGGAGGGCTTGCCTGGTGGAGTTAGGGCTCCTCCCTGGGACAAGGGTGCTTCTGAGGTGAGAGGGGGCCGAGTTGAGGTTTGAACCCTGGTCCGTCCTGCAGAATGGGCTGCTGTGGGTGCGCCAGGGCCAGTGCAGCTCAGACGTCCCCGAGCCCACGCACAGGAGCGGGGTTTTCAGGCCCCAGCTTCCTGCTGGCTCTTCCTGACTGCGCCCTGGCCCAGCTCTTGCACCCGACCCCGGCTGAGGGGCACAGGCGGCACGACTCACTCTGGCTCCCTCGCAGGCTACTGCACGGGCTGGGGGGACCCGCACTATGTCACCTTCGACGGACTGTACTACAGCTACCAGGGCAATTGCACCTACGTGCTGGTGGAGGAGATCAGCCCGTCCGTGGACAACTTCGGAGTTTACATCGATAACTACCACTGTGACCCTAACGACAAGGTGTCCTGCCCCCGCACCCTCATCGTGCGCCATGAGACCCAGGAGGTGCTGATCAAGACCGTGCACATGATGCCCATGGAGGTTCAGGTAGGCACAGCGTGGCCGCGGGAGGCTGGCACGGAGGTGGGTGCTGACATGGGCCCCAATGCACCCCGGTTCCCCAGGGGCCAGAGGACTGGGCTGCGGGGGTGCCCAGGCACAGCCTCTCCCAGAGCCAGGCTGGAAGGTGGGATGGGGTGGGCGCCCGGCTCCAGGACCCATCAGCTCTGCCCTCCAGGTGCATCCTGGGCCCCTCAAGCCCTGGCACGCATGCCACACTGGGCACAGTCTCTACAGCAGAAGCTGCCTCCTGAGGACAGAGTCAGGGACAGGGCTCTGCACACCCTTGACTGAGACGCCCCTAGTTGCAAAGGAATTATTGGTTCTGAGGCTCAGGAGGCCCTGGGAGCCTGCGCGGGATTCCACAGTCCCCAGGTGCTCCCAGGAGAGCTCCTTCACTGGCTCACCCATGGGACTGGGGTCTGGTTAGGAGCAGCGGAGTAGGAGCAAGAAAGGGGGCAGAAAAGGGGGGTAGGCAGGGCCCTCTCCCTGCATGTGTAGGTCGGAGAACAGGCGGGGTGGGGCAGCCCTAGAGCTCTCCCAAGGAGAGGACTGAGGCAGCTCCGCGGTGTGTCGGCTGCAGGTACAGGTGAACAGGCAGGCGGTGGCAGTGCCCTACAAGAAGTACGGGCTGGAGGTGTCCAAGTCTGGCATCAACTACGTGGTGGACATCCCCGAGCTGGGCGTCCTCGTCTCCTATAATGGCCTGTCCTTCTCTGTCAGGCTACCCTACCACCGGTTCGGCAACAACACCAAGGGCCAGTGCGGTGAGTTCCGTGGCCCCCATGGCTCCCGAGGCCCCCCTGTCCTGCCCCAGGGCGGGCGGCTAGACCAGGCTGAGGCTGAGGCTGAGGCTGTGTGTAAACACCCACGGGCCTGCTGTGGGCCTCTTGCCTCTCTGCTTGGGGGTGCTGTGACCATCACCCGGGTTCAGTCCCTGTGAGGAGCCAACAGGAAGGGGCCTGGTCTCTGCCCTTGACCCCGGCTGGCCGGTCCTGGGCATCTGGGCTGGAGAAGGGCAGGGCTTGCCCTGTCTGCAACATGGCCTCTCTCACTGATACAGGCACCTGCACCAACACCACCTCTGATGACTGCATTCTGCCCAGTGGGGAGATCATCTCCAACTGTGAGGCTGCGGCCGACCAGTGGATGGTGAACGACCCCTCCAAGCCACACTGCCCCCACAGCAGCTCCACGACCAAGCGCCCGCCCGTCACTGTGCCCGGGGGCAACAAAACGACCCCACAAAAGGGCTGCACCCCATCTCCCCTCTGCCAGCTCATCAAGGACAGGTGACCCTGCCTGGGCCTGCCTGCGGCCGTGACACCAACAAGCTGAGGGCCTCTGTGCCCCAACCCCCAGCTCTTGCAAAGAGGAAGGAAGCAGTGCATGGGGCCTGGCACTGGGGCTGGGAAGGCAGGAGGCCACGGAACCAGGGCCAGGAGCTAGGTCACCGTGGTGTCCAGGACCTGGGTCGTTGGGTTCCACAGGGCTAAGCTGCCATGTCTGGCATGCCTGTGCCTTTATTGAACTCCATAATCTCTCCCGGCTCCTGGGAAGGTCAGGGCTGGCCAAGTGTGAGACTCAAAGTAGACCAGTCAACCCAGGACAGAGCTCAGGGCTGATATTGGGGAGGCAGATTTGGGCTTTGACAGAGGAGGGTGCTTCTAATGCTGGCAGCCATGGGGTTCAGCACCCCGTCCCTGGAAGTATAGGGGCCAAGTACAGGCTGGGGTGTCCGTCTGTCAGGGTTGTTGGAGGGGGTCCTGAAGCTGATGACCACATAGACGTGGCTTCTATCTGGGAGCCGGGCTGCAGAGCCACCTTGCTCGCCCATCCCTTGGTCTGTCCCTGACCCGTCCCCTGGCTGGCCTGTCCCTTGACCCTCTGTCGGCCACAGACGCCTCTCTGGTGGGTGCCGGACTCCAGGAGGACAGTCCGGGCAGAGATGCTGGGGTAGGGAGTGGGGGAGAGGCAGCTGCCACCTGAGTGTGACCTGTGCCTCTCCCTGTGCAGCCTGTTTGCCCAGTGCCACGCGCTGGTGCCCCCACAGCACTACTACGACGCCTGCGTGTTCGACAGCTGCTTCGTGCCGGGCTCAAGCCTGGAGTGTGCCAGTCTGCAGGCCTACGCAGCCCTCTGCGCCCAGCAGGGCGTCTGCCTCGACTGGCGGAACCACACGCATGGGGCCTGCTGTAAGTGTCCATCTGCCCCTGCCCTGGAGCTGGGGACCTGCAGGCCAGACGTGGTCTCTAGGCTCTGCCGGGTGCTGTGCCCAGCCTGAAGCTAGACCCAGGTGGGCTGTGGCCAGGGATGCAGAGATGGTGGGTGTGAGACCAGGGCTGGGGCCATGGGGTGGGGAAGGCTGAGCTGGAGGAACTGAGGTGCTGGGGGTTCTGCCACTGTCACTAAATGCAACTGGGTGCCCACCACCTGGCTCGGGACAACCGTGAGGGCAGAGGCTGATGCCCCAGGCAGCTGGCCACCCTCCTCTGTGTGGGGGGCACTAGGCAGCTGTCACTCAAGGGGGTCCAGGCTCCTCCGCCTGACATGAGGCAGCCCTCTGACCCCTGCTCCTGTCCTGCAGTGGTGGAGTGCCCGTCTCACAGGGAGTACCAGGCCTGTGGCCCTGCAGAAGAGCCCACGTGCAAATCCAGGTATGTTGCTTGAGGGTCCACCTTGTGGGCTTGCCCTCTGCAGTGCGGAGGGTGGCATCATCTGGGCATAGCAGTCCCGCCTGCCAGCTCCCCAGCCCGACCCCACCTATCTGACGATGCCCTCCCGCCCCCAGCTCCTCCCAGCAGAACAACACAGTCCTGGTGGAAGGTTGCTTCTGTCCTGAGGGCACCATGAACTACGCCCCTGGCTTTGATGTCTGCGTGAAGACCTGCGGTAGGCCACCCACTCACACTGTCCCCTGCTGCCTCCCTCCCGCCGCCTCCTGGGTGTCCACAGAGGCTGGGACCAGGAGGCTGACCACCCCCCACCCCTGCTCCCTGCTGCACAAGGACTCTGCTAACACAACTTGTTTCTTCCCTCTTCCTAGGCTGCGTGGGACCTGACAATGTGCCCAGAGAGGTAGGCCCCACCTTGGTGCTGGGGGATTCTCCGACAAATTCTAAATTCTGGGGAGTGAGGGATGGACATGAAAACATAAAGCCTCAAAGATTGAGGAATGAGGTGATCTAAGTTCTGGATGGCTGAGTTGGCAGGGACATCACCCACTCACCCACCCATCCTTCCAACCACCCACTCATCCGCCTATGTACCCATCTACCCACTCACCTACCCCTCCATCCATCCTTCCACCTACCTAGTCATCACTCACTCATCTGTGCACCCACCCACCCACTCATCTACCTACACATCCACCCACCCATCCATCCATCCATCTGCCCACCCAGCCAGTCAGCCACCCACCCAACCATCCTTCTGTCCCTCCATTCATCTATCTGTCCTTTCATCCTTCCACCCACCTGGCCATCCATCCATCCATCCATCCACCCATCCATCCACCATCCATCCATCCATCCATCCATCCATCCATCCATCCATCCACCCACCATCTATCTACCATCCACCATCCATCTACCATCCACCATCCATCCATCCAACCATCCATCCAACCATCCACCCACCCATCTATCTATTCACTCACCCATCCATCCATCCACCCACCCATCCACCCATCCATCCATCCATCCATCCATCCATCCATCCATCCATCCAT